ACCTTTAGGAGGTGTCTGGCACATAACAAGTTCCATACATACTAATGGAGAGAGGGAGAGATGAGAAAAGGAAGAAGGGAGAGACGGATGGAGAGAGGGGAAAAGAATAAAAAAGGCCCCACCCCATCTCCTCCACTCTATGTTGTCAAACCCATTAATTACCCTAAAGGTGCTATTTTCAGGCTCCGGGAAGAGGTATTTTGGAGCAGATAGCTGATGATTAAGTCCCACCTAGCACATGATACAGTACCTGATCATCACCATGGGAAGGAGACAGGCCATAATGTGCCCTGTATTTAACTATCATTCCACAGCACATGCTAATAACCCTCCTGGGTGGGTGGGCGGGGGGCCCTGGAGAGACTCACAGAGGTTGCATTGGCTGCACCACTAGCACAGCACCAACTTTATTCTTGGGTTTTGCATTATTAGACCAGAGGCTCTTTTGCTCCTGCAAAAGGTTTTAACTAGGATTTCGGTCCCTTCACAACCTTGTTTGCCATCCAGTTCCCTGTTCCTCTGCCAGCTTCATCTGTGCAACTCATCTTGGGTTACGTCTGGCAGATGGAAAGAGGAATCTCATTTCAATGCCTCTTCTGTCTGCATCCCAGAGCCCTCCCTGAGCAGCCTCTATTTCACCCGGGAGGGAAGAGAAGAGGGGGGACGATCAACCTCCCCAAGAGATGAGAGTGTAAAGTATTTCTCAAATTTTCATCTTCAACGGTTGGTATCATTTAACTCCCCTGGCTAGGGGGTGGCGGGGGGTGGGGGAGGAGGCAGACTATGCTTTGTTGCTTAGGCTAGCAATATAATCTCTGGCTATCCCAATGCCAAAATATCAATTACAGGTTCATTTGGATGATGGCATAAACTAGTGCTCCGACCACCAGACAATGACATAAACTGGAGGTGGGGGGAGAAGGTGCTGGAAGAGGTTGAGTCTCAGGACAGAAATGAAACTCGGTAAAGATGAAGTCTTTAGATCCTTGCAAACGAAGGAACTCAATTCTAAACTGCTGTTTGTCTCATGAAGAGAACCCCACCAGCCACAAACCTGAAGCCGGTATTCCTGAAGCAGGTTTCTTGCTGGGGGTTTTAATGAGAGAGAAGTGAACGCTCCCATAGCACCCACCTGGCCCTGAGTAACCATAAGGGAAGGCTGAAAACATACACGACTTGCAATTAAAAGTAAATGTCTCACCAAGCACAGCGAGTCAGAGAGTGCTTGATCCCATTTATATGAAATGGCTAGGGGAGAATCCATAGCGACAAAAGGCAGACTGGGAGCTGGCCGGGTCTGTGAGGGGAAGGAGAAATGGGGAGTAACTGCTTAATGGGTACGGCGTTCTATCCTGGGTTGACGAAAATGTTATGGGATGAGATGGAGGTGGTGGTTGTGCAACATTATGAATGTACTAAGTGCCAGTGAATTGTTCAACTTTAAGATGGTTACTTTCATGTTATGTGAATTTTACCTGAACAAAAAACAACTAACAAATATTTTATAATGGTTTCTACCTAAAGGCCTCACTATTTCTCATTGCTCAACGATCTACCACTACTGGGAGATAAGGAGGATTTTATTCCTATTCTATAGGGATTAAATAGGTTTCTAAATTCTAATATCTGTCACCTTTTGGCATTTCCTGTGAAAAGCCTGGTATTTGCCCAGAATGTCTGCAGCTGGGAAGCAATTCCAACCAGTGACCCTGCCCTGTTTGGCCAATCCCAGTCAGCGGCAGCACCACCGGTTTACCTGCAGTTGCAAAGTGCCGGCCAGATAATCCGAAGTGGACAGTGGACATCTGTGTTTACTGGCCTCTGAGCTCCGGACAGGCCCTTGGGATCGAGCTGTGTTCTCAGGAGGGGTGGTGACCTCAGACAACAGAAAGAGGGGAGGTCTTCTAATTCAGCAGAAAAATTAAAGCCTTTAATCCAGTAGAAAAATATAAAGGCTTTGCTCTTTCCACACACTTTCAGGATTAAAAAAAAAAATCGATTTCCACAAAGAGTAGAAGCATCTTTGGAAGAGAGGCAGCTTTCCCCCCTCCTTCCTTTTGATACTAAAGAACATTTGCTCCAACACACAGATCCAAAGCCGTCAGCTGTCAAGTGGAAAGAGAAGCCCAAGAACTTAGGGGGAATAAAAACATATTGAGAACAGAGATCAAAAGAAGGGACCTTGAGAAGAAACTATAAGACCAGGTAACAACAAAAATGGCTAACAACCCTGTCTAGGAAAAGCTGGTAGGGGACTGGCCAGGTAAACCCAACACCTTCCACCCCAACCCCCACACTTTACAGTCAGAGACAGAGACAAACAGGTCTCCCCAACCTTCTTCCCCATTTGTAGAACCATTCGATTTATCCCTCACACCACCTCTTCATGGAGCTCTGATCTTTCCAGTTTTAACCTTAGGACATTATTTTTCCAACCACTGTTTGGTCTCATCTCCCAAACTTAGGACTTGATGGAGACCCTGACGTTCCTCTGGGACTACAGCCTTTGGTGGCTGCGCCCACTTTCCTCCTGGTAAAGTGTTCCGTATGTCTTGGTGTGTCCTTCCTTTTCTCAGGTGTGCACCTCCAGACTAAGTCTAAAATGAGGCTCTCCTGTTGATTTCAGGCTCACAAATAGCTCGCCAGATGTCCTGTTAAGAAGGAATTGCTAAATATAATGAGAAAACAAAACATGTTCAATGCTTCCAAAATCCCCTGTTTCTACTGCTGTATTCCAACTGACTCAGAGCCATATATTTTTTCCCCCCATGTCATGTGAGAAAAAAAACATGTGGTCCTGTCACAAAATGCTCACACGCCACAGACACTGCTTATTTTTCTGGAAAAATTCCTAAAGCAGGGAAAAAGCATCTGTTTCCTATGTTGGTCATGCCATGGAATGAAAAGTAAAATGGGGGGCGGGTTATGGAGGGGCCCTCCATTTCCCTTTTAAAGGAATGCTGAAACAGAGCACCAGTTTTGAGCTCTGTTGGGATTAGGCTGTATGATGCGGATGGGGCCTGCGATGTTGTACGTGTGCAGGGCCTGTCCTGAGCCACAGCGATTCCGTCCCCTCCATCCTCACACTCCCTCCCGGCGCGGGAGCAGCATGGTAACACTGCCCCGGCCTGACTCTTCTGCTTCCTGACTCTGACCGTGGGCATGTCATTTAAGCGTCTGAGCCTGTGTCCCCACTTGTAAGATGGAAACAGTAATGCGTATTGTTTCCTATTTAAGGTGGCTGTTAGGCATTGGGCTGTGTCCCCCAAAATGCATACCTAAATCCTAACTCCCGGTACCTACAGGGTTGTTGCAGATGGAAGAGGTGAAGTGAGGTTGGACTGAAGGTAGCGTGGGCCCTTCAACCTACATGTCTGGTATCTTTATAAGACAAGGGAAGATGGGCATTAAAGACACAAACACACAGGGATGATACCCTGTGACCAGAGGGGCAGACGCCGAGTGATGCAGCTGCAAACCAAGGAACGCCAAGGACTGATGGCCACCACCAGACACCAGGAAGAGGCAAGGAAAGATTCCTCCCTACGTGGCTCAGAGGGAGCATGGTCCTACCTTGACTTTGTACTTCGAGCCTGCAGACCTCTGAGACAATACATTTCTGTTGTTTTAAGCTCCCCCAGTCCGGGGTACTTCGTTACAGCAGCCGTGGGACACTAATACAGTGGTCATTTTGTAATTTGTTTAGTGTGCGTGTGCACTCGTGTGTTTTAATTGTAGAGGAAACACACTAAGAATAAACCAGGTAGACAAAAAAACAAACAAAAAAACAACCAAGGTAACGTTTCTTCCTTATCTAAAACTAGGAAATGGCATTGTTTCCTCGAGAGCCAACACTGCCTCTCCAAACTCACCCCCTAACACTCCTTCCCATGTAACCTGCTCCATGACGTGGGCCTTCAGTCTATACTGTCCTTAGGGCCTCCGCATCAGCTTCTTCTTCTGCCTGGACCACGCCCAAGGCGAATCCCTGACCTCCTGTCTTTCCCCAGTGAGGCCCACCCTGGCCACTCCTTTTAAAACTGCAATTTGTACTCCTGCCCCACCCAGCACCCCCAAATCCTCTTACTCAGCTCTACCTTTTCTTGTTCCCATGTTCTTATTGGCTTCTAATATCCTAACAATTTACTTATTTCTTCAGTATGTGCGTTATTTACTACCTGCCTCCCTCCATGCTACAGCATAACCTCCGTGAGGGAACAAGCATCCAGAGCAGTACCCAGGTCATAATATGTGCTCAACAAGGGTTTTCAAAAATACATTACTTATTTTTAATGAACCAATGCCTGCCATGACAACGTATACAGTTGTTGTTTTTCCTTTGATCTTGTCCTTTACTTCTCTCCTGTCCCCTAATTTCCAAAAGTACTTAGCAGGTATCTGCAGCCCAAAGAATGGTATGAGTTATACTTAGAGGGCCGGCAGGTGGGGAACAAGATGAAGCTCTCCAATTCACAGCACCAAGTTCTTTGGTACAAACACACCATGAGACACAGGCCACTAACTATTCCACAGAATTTTATAACAGCAGTAAAAATAATAAGCAATGATAACTGCATTTTTATATTACTCTTCCCATCTGTAAAACATTTTCTTATGAAATTTCCCTTTACAGATGGAAGAACTGGGGTTTAGAAAAAAATAAGTGACTTGTCCAAGTTTACTTAGCTGGTAGGGGAAGAGCTGGGAATGAAATCTAGAATTAGAAGATCTTCAGTGATAAGGACCTTTTTCTCTTTTTTTTTTAATTAAAATTTTACTTTTATTGAGACTGGAATCAAACCTGGGACCCTTCAGTGCACAGGCCAACGCTCTATCCACTGAGCCAAACCAGCTGGGGCGATAAGGACCTTTTAACTTGGTATTTAGTGAAATGTGTACTATCCATTTCTGGAGTCCCACTCACAATAAGGAAACGCTTTTTAGTGTTTTCTCTATAAGTTACTTCTCTTCTTTCCCCATCCTCTAAACAAATGACTTACCTACTGAAACAGCCACACGTCCTTTCCTTGTTGGGTAGCTCTCCACCAGAATTTTCTTCTTGTTAAAAGGAGAATTCACCTTCAGTGGTAAGTGTGCCAGAAAATGAGGCACATTTCCAGAAAGCCTGGGAATCACCACCCTCGTGAACTGTTCAGAAAAAAAAACAAAAACAAAAAACAACAATTCAGCAAGAGTTTTATATCTTCAGTTCTCTCTGAGAATGCCTTCAACATGAATCTCTTTCCCATTCTTTGGCAAGTCAAAAGAGGTTTTTGCTGAGACTTCCAATTAAATTTACTAACTGTAAATTCAAGGAATGTGCATTCCTTGGCCTAAATTTATTTTAGTGCCTTAATAACATTTATTATTAACTGCCTCCACTTTTGAAGGGACTGAAAGAATCATATCCATGAATATTGAGCTTCCACCCTTCTTTACAGAATTCTCACATTTATTCTTCATGGCAATTTAGCTAAAATTCAAGGAACTATCAGACGCATATTCAGCCCAGCAGAAGTGAAGGCAGTAATCATTCGATTATCTCTTCTCCTAGAGAAGCCGAAGGCACCTTTTTATTCAAATGCTAATCACATTCAAACTAGGCTAATAGGCTCTCCCTCTATGTAGGGTATGCACAATCCTTCCAAACATGCTAGGATGCAAATCCTGACGTCATGACTGGAGACTGTAACTGGATGGAGGTGGAAATGGCTGATTTGCAAAAGGTCATTCTGCCTTTGCAAAACCCAGGAGAAGAAGGCGACTTTCTGGGGCAACGATACAGGAAGAAATCACTTCTAATCTCAGGATGACAATGGTTGTCGGCCTTTGTGGGGAGATCCCTGTGTGGGTTTAGAGAGGAAGTCCCAGTTCTGGCTCTGAGGAACTAGCTTGTGTCAGACCACCTTCCCATTGAACACAACTGGAAAAGCTGGGTGAAGATTATGTTAAAAACCTGTTTAAAATACTGGAGTGCTACACCAAGGCAGCCAGGACGTGAGAGGCCAAGATCTTAGGGAGAAGAGAAATAAAGCTGAGGCAACACCTGGTACCACTTTTCTTCTCAGGACACCTACTGATCTTTAAGAGGCCCAGCGCAGAACTGCTGAGAAGCCAAGCAGAAAGCAGCTGTGCAGAGGCACCCGCAGTGAGCCATCCTTTGGCAGAGCAAGGGAATCCCAGAGAGAAGGGACATGTGGAGAAGTGAGCTGGACATTCTGCCTCTCTAAGCATTTGCTAATTGAGAAACGGGAAAACCAAGCAGAAAGCCGCACCAACAGGTTTGGGAATTAAACAGAGCTTTGGGCAGTTTCATGATGTTGGAGGAATTAATATTGGAGTTCAGGGCCCCCCAGAAAGGGAAAAGCTCAGGTACATTTCCTTAGGACCCCTGAAGGGCACCACCTACCATGAAAGCCTAAAATAATACCAGAACTGAGTCTTCAAGCAGCTCAGTTCCTTGTCGGATTAATGTGGTCTGACCTACCCTAACCACCTCTCAGAAGCAAAAGTAGCTTCTGGAGAAAGATACCATCATCTACAGTGTTTATGACTCTTTGTACAAAATGCCTGCATTCAATCAACAATTGCTAGGCATTCCAGGGCATGGATTCTAGAAAGAGAGACAATAGAAAGACCCAGACATGACCCAAATAGAGTCATACATAGGACATGGTCTTTAATCCTATATAATAAACCCCTAATACGTAAATAGACTGAACAGTAGAATGACCGGCAGAACGACCGGTTGCTATCACGCACACTGACCACCAGGGGGCAGACGCTCAATTCAGGGGGCAGCTCCTGTGTTGAGCGTCTGCCCCCCCACCCCACCAGAGGGAGGTGACTGGCAGTGGCAATCAGGGGACAGGGTGGGGCCGGCCAGTGGGAGGTGCCAGGCTGCCAGCCAAGGTGGGTCACTGGGGGGCTCCCCAATCACCCTGCCTGCTGGTAGCCCCACTGATGGCCCTGATCGCCAGCCAGGCTTAGGGACCCTACTCTATATATTGGGAACAGTCTCTTAGATTTAAAAATTAAAACCTGGCAAGGCTACTCTAACACTGAAAAAACAGGATGATGCAGCGATGACATGCATGGACTCTGGTTTGCACATTTTGTGGTCAGCCCTGATTCTGACCCTTATAACTGTGTGGCAAAGCCAATTACTTAACTTCTCTCTGCTTCAGTTTTTCCACCCATAAGATGGGGAAAATGGTACTTCTGCCTCAGAAGGACCATGTTCTGTACTACTTTTTATAATCAGGGCAAAAAAAAAATGTAGCTGCCCATACAACAGCAAGATGCCTTTCACCTGTATGAAAAGTACGGTCACTGGTGCATGCAGCGTCCCCAATTGTGAGAGGGATGTCCGACTGCTGGTTTAGGCCCAACATCCCCCGAGGGGTCCCAGATTGCAAGAGGACACAGGCTGGGCTGGGGACCACGCCTACCGTTCATGAATTTTGAGCACCGGGCCTCTAGTATAACTATAACTAATATGTTCAAAATTATAAAGATTGTAAAATATTTAAACTCACAGAACAAGTCAGAAAAAATTAAGTAGGGATACAAAAGATTTGAATAGCATAATTAACGAACTCAACTGTAGTAACAGATATAGAATACTGTACCCAAACTGGTACTACACATTTTTTTAAGGTGCACATGAAACATTTACAGAAATTAACCACATATGGGTCATAAAATATGCCCCCAGATATTTAAACAAATGGAAATTATAGTGTACTTTTTTGAACTTATGATTTTGAAATCATATAGATTAGAGTCATAAAAAATTACAAAAATAGTATTTTTTAAATTGAGGGGAAATTTGCATACTGTAAAATACATACTGCTCTAAAATGTACAATTTGATATGTTTTTTTGTCTTTTAAATATATTTTTATTGATTTCAGAAAGAAAGGGAGAGGGAGAAAGAGAAAGAGAGAAACATCAATGATGAGAGAGAATCACTGACTGGCTGCCTCCTGCATGCCCCCTAATGGGGATCAAGCCCGGAACTCCGGGCATGTGCCCTTAATGGGAATCCAACCCAGAACCCGTCAGTCCACAGGCTGACACTCTATCCACTGAGCTAAACCAGCTAGGGCCAATTTGATATATTTTGATAAAGAAACCCAACTGTGTAACCGCCAACAAAATAAAAATATAGAGCATTTCCATCACTCCAGAAAGTTCCCTCATGCTCCATTTGGTAAATCCCCAAATCTCAAAGACAACCACTGTTCTCATTTCTATTTCCGTAGATTAATTTTGCCTGTTCCTGAGCTTCATACAAATTGGCTCATATAGTATGTCTGTGTCTGGCTTTATTCACTCAGCATGTCTCTGAGATTCACCTACACTGTTGACTGTATAAATACTTTACTCCTCTTTATTCCTGAGCAATAAATAGTCCATTGTATGAAAATAGCACAACTTATTACATATTCTTCTGTGGATGGAAATTTGGTTGTTTCCATTTCAGGGCTATTATAAACAAAGCTATTATGAATATTTTCATACAAGTATACTTGTGAACATATATTTTTATTTCTCTTGGGTAAATACTTGGGTGTGGAACTGCTAGGTTATAGGATGGAAAGCATTTAACTTTCTAAGAAACTGCCAAACAATTTCCCACAATCTATGTGTGGCTGCCACTGGGACTTCAGTAGAGTTACATACTGCAATTAATACAAAGACCACTGTCTGAATGACTGCCCTCTCTCCAGACACGGCCAGCTTTGGTCTCTGTTCTGTAGCAGCTCTCAGAGATGCTGCTCTAAGTGGTGGTTCCCGCCCAGTAACAGCCGAGAGGAAATGTGACCACAGTTGACTTTTCATATTCTAGATGTGTCAATTACACAGTCCACCATTCCTTAATAAACACCTTTAAAGCAATAAATAAATAAATACATAAATAAGTAAATAAATAAAGTGTTAGAAGCATTGATTTTAGGGTTATAAATAAATTTAGCCAGCAGGCAAACTGGCAAATATAGAATCTAGGAACAATGAGAACCAACTGTTCCAGGTCTGAAATCTGGTTTTACTCTTTCAAATTTCTCCCCATTTAAACAAAAGAGGCCTGGTGAAGCCCCAGGTAAGTTTCATGACTCACAGCAAGGTGTTGGCTCAACTAAACTAGCCTCATGGAAGCTCACTTACTGTTGAGGTAGCAATTTACAACTTGTCCCAGGTTGACCACTTCACCCCATCTCTGTTCATTTCTTTTCTCAGATGCTCAGGGGGAACATTACAGAACACTGGAAATGTTAAGTTTGTCTGTAAATTACTCATAACTATCTGGGCACTTATTTCAGACACAAGAACACAATCAGCAATAATGGGGCCACCTGTGCCTAGTACTACACTCTGGAGACTGACGGGAAGAGAAGGAGAGGGAAGAAACGTGACCCTCCGTGGGCCCAGAGTATGCATATCCGGGTAAAGAAATTAGAAAGTGGACTCTTCCTATTTGCCATGGCCACGTATGGGATGTTTCACAGCCCCTGCTGTCTGTGGGCCCACCCTAAAACCAGGTGCTAGGAATCAGTCCAGCATTCAGGAAGACCTGATGTCAGGACCACGTCTCAGGGATTCACTTACTTCTGCAAGTCATGATGCCTGTGACCTGCCACTTGAGAACAGGCTGTAACAGAAACTACAGCTGCATTACTCAGAAGGTTTCTGTCTGGAGAAGTAACTGTGCTGCGGGGCTGGCCAGCTGGAGTTGGGTTTCCATCTGGGTGACTTGGACTTTGCAGACCGACACAACCTGGTCACCTTGAGCACTATATTCTCAGCCCCTTCTCAATAGCAACTGGCAGGAGGAGCTGTGACACCAGTTTTGGTGGCTCTCGGTGAACAGCAGGACCCGGGTAGTCCTTCCTTCCTCCTCTAAGGCGCCCAACCTGACAGCAGGGTGCAGAAATGATCTGGACTTTGGGCCAGGAGACTCATATTTCGGTTTTGGCTGGATATGAAATTATACTGTGAAGTTGGAAAAAGAAAAAGATATAAATTACCTCCTTCCCATTCTCCTCTACTTCCATGCACTAGTGAGAAGAGTAGCAAAAATCTGCTCCTTCATTCCTACCTCCCCAGCCTCTTACCCAAGAGAACTTCTGGGACCATGTAAGTGC